GAAAAGTTAAAATTACCTTGGGCTTCCCTGGTGGCGCAGTGGTTAAGAATCTGCCTGCCAACGCAGGGGACATGGGTTCTAGCCCTGGTCCGGGAAGATCCCACATGCCGCGGAGCAACTAAGCCCATGCGCCGCAACTACTGAGCCTGTGCTCTAGAGCCCGTGCTCCGGCAACAAGAGAAGCCACCGCAATGAGAAGCCCACGCACCCCAATGAAGAGTAGCCACAGCTCACCACAACTAGAGAAAGCCCGTGCACAGCAACGAAGACCCAACGCAGCCAATCAATCAATAAAATAAATAAAATTTTTTAAAAGGTTAAAATGACCTGAATTTCCCCTATAAAAGTAAGAATCTGGGATCTCAAGCAAGAAAGTGGTTTTAATCTAGAATACTGATGTCTTTATTATCAGTTCCTATATTAGACTCCTATATTAGCCCCCTTTTTCAAACACTTGACAAAGATATAATAGTCATTAGAAAATTATTGCATCAGAACTTGGTTTTATTTGTGGTAGTTGGGGGCAACTAATAATTGATGAAAGCAGAATTTCCAGCAGGATGCGAAAGAAAGTAATTATCCTTGTAGAATAAAAAAGTGCGTAGCCATGACTGAATCAGATTCTGGTTTGAATAATCACATGATACCCTCTTGCTCTTTGGGTTTAGTTCAGGGAAGCGCTCAAACCTTTCAATAAGTGCCCACTTTGCTTCATTGATAAGGCTCCCGTCCGCACTACAGACTCTGAAGCCAGCTGTGTTCTCTTCTTGGCACTCTTCCAGTCCTCCTTTTACCCCAGCCCCTCACCCATCTCCATGTCTACCCAGCTCGGGGCCTGAGGTTTCCATCTGTAAAGCCTGTTGCTACAGAATACAGAATTCACTGGGGAGGAGGGGAAAGCTGCGTGTGTGTGTTTAAGGATGGTGGCTCTCATAATCAGATAAATGTTGTGGAAAGCTTGCTCATTCATATGGAAGAGCCAGCGCTGCAGCTAAATGGTGGAGCCGCTGAGCTCCAGGCTCTGGCATCTGTGCATTAGCCCTGCTCAGTCAGGAGCGCCTTTATTTGTGATACAGAAATAGCTGAGGAGCATCACCACTTTTGCCTTCAACAATAACCTTTGGTTGAACCCATGGAAAAAAGGCTGTATCGCTTTTTTTTTTTTAATGCAATGATGAAATTGGTCACAAATAGGAAATCTCATGTGACTTCTACACACAATGAGGTACCTCCTATGCAATCGTAGTAAGTCTCTGGCGTTTTACTTTTCGCTCTTGACTTCCTTTATATAACTGCTCTTCCCTTCTAAGATATCTCGAAGGTATCAAAGACTTTTTCCCCATGTCATGCATCCTGTGATTCTGCTCTCCTTCCTTCCTGGTGACATCAGTCTTGAATGAACAGTAGTGCTGGTGAATGCCCTGAAAAGCCTGGAATGTAACCTGATTTTTGAGGAGAGGAAGCTTCTCAGTTCCCGCCGTTTGACTTGCCTGGGCAAGTTCTGTCTTGCACTATGGACAGAGTTATCTTCAGCCATAGGATACCAGCTTTGGGAACTAGTAAAGCCGGAGCTTAAGAACACACTTCATTCTCTCCTTCTCCTTCTTGTGCCCCTCCTTCCTTCCAAGAAAACACTCATGTCCTTAGGATTGTTGTCAAGTTTGCTTCTGTTTTATAAGCGGGAAGCTCAGAATGTCTCTTGCCTTCATGAGCACAAGCATTGTTGGGGTTATTTGGGTTGCATTTGTTTATCTTTTCCACACTCACACGGTTTGCCTAGCTTGGCAGCCTGCTGGCCTGGACAATAATAAAGCTTCTGTCGAGGTGAGCAAACAGCTGATGGCATGGGGCACAGAGGGGACTCCTACAGTAGCTGCCTGTAATCTGCTGGGCTGGTGGTCAGAGTAGGCAAGAACAAAAGCCAGTCTGTTTGCAGGCAATTTGGAAAATCAATGTGTTAGTTGTGTTCTTGTCTCTTTGCTTTTCTCTTGGCTAAAAGGGAGAATGCTGGTCCAGCAGTTTGCAGAATCTTTCCAGGCAAGTACCCATTCCAGAGACTTACCTGCCTGTCATATTTCCACTGGCTGTTCTGAAAAGGGCCCGAGTTTTTCTGTCTGAACTGCTTAAAAAGCCACTGACAGAGAATTCTTAAACTCAACATCCAAAGTTGGACCCTACTATTCCAATGTTTTGAGTGGTTTATATTCTAGATAGTTACTCACATAAGTTGTGTGCTAATTTTTTTTTAATGCTAATGAGGGCTTCAGAAGGAGTTTATTTGTTGCCTGGCTAGGAAATACAAGAATTGCACTTTGAGCAACATATTTCATAATATATGTGTGTTTGCCTCTTATTCCTAAATTGATTTAATATTGTCAGTTAGTTGAAAATATCCTAGTCATGGTTGTGTATCTGGATTATTAGGTCTTACAGAGCAGAGATCACACCAAGTAGCCCTGTTCCAGGATGGGAGAGAGAGTGAACTTAGTAAAGACCCATGTGAGTCTGTTGACACATCATTCAAAGGACAGCCGTGCAGATGATTATATTAGTTGTGTGAAGTCTTGAGTTACTTTTCCCTTTAAGCTTCTAAGAAATAAAAGGTGATAAGGAAAGATTTGAGAAGAAAAGACTTTTCTGTTCATCCGTGTGTTAGCAAATGGCTTTAAACAAATTTTCATTTGTGCTTTGAAGGTCTATAACTAGATCCTATCCATCTTTGTTCCTCTTTTTCAAAGCCTAAAAATGGTCTGCTGATTGTGAGTAAGAGAAAAGGGTGTTTGGTTGGATGTGGTCATGGTGCTCTTATTTTAAAGTCCATCAAAAAGAAAAGTAATAACTTTAATGGTCATTGGAGACATCCTAAAGCAGAAGATAAGATTTAAATAATCGTGGGTAAAGGAGATAATTGACATTTTTTTGTTTTGTTTTGTTTTGTTTGTTTGTTTTCAAAGGAAAAATAGACTAAACCTAAAAGCCACTACTACCAAAAATACCTCTAGCATCTAGTAGTGCCCTCTGCATTTTTAGTGTTTATCACACCCCCCGCCCCCGTGTTATTGTTAAACTGGTTTATATACCTTATTTTTGTAATGAGATTATAAATACCCCAAACAGGGAATTTACAATTCTATAATATACCATAGAAGTTAACATAATGATCAATACATTATTGCATTTAATACGTGCTGATTTTTAAAGCTCTTTTTTTATTTGTCAACAACCTATTGTGGGCCACAAATTGTGTCAGGCACTGAGGAACCAGTGTGGAGCAAGGCAGTCACTGCCCCTACTTACTGCCCAGGGAGCCTACAGGCTAGCGAGAAAACATCACCATCTTTAGGCAGTACACCTGGTATTTCACTTGACTTTTTTTTTTTTTTTTAAATAAAATTAGCTGTTAATTGGCCATTACACTTCAAATCTCAGATTTTTCAGAGTAACAAGGAGTGACGCTCAGGTTGCTCAACTGTTGACTTTAAAATGTGAGGGAAAGCATGAAATACTAAAAGATATAGTTTGTTTCATTTCTATGCAGAGGATCTCATTAGACCTACTATCTAGGGCACTTATACAATGGCTTTCTCTGGCTAGGTCACTCTCATCTTAAACATAATTTGACATATTTCTATCCTTCTCCTTTTATCAAAAGGGGTTAATTCTGTAAAGAAAGAGTGAGAGAGACATTTTCCAGCCAAATCTAAGGCAGTCAAAAAACTGGACAGAGCTAGATGGCTTTAGATCCATAAAACATCTTCAGATCTTATTTTTATCAAATCTCTCACCAGATCACTAATAAATAGCCTAAATTAAATACTACTTCTCACTTGCTCTCTTTTTCTCAGCTTTTACTTTGGCAGAGAACCTGTTCAGCAGGAAACTATCCCAATGCCAGATGGCAGGAAATAGCAGGTGGCAGATTGAATAACCAGCCTTTGAAAAACACCAGTATTAGCCTCTAGCCCCAATTCTCAAATATGGCACAAAATTCTTTCTCTTTAAGTTTTTGTCTTGCCTTTTGTTTTTAAGAAAACTGTTTGAATTTTGTGGGGTCCAGGGATTGACTTGCTTCCTCAATGGTCAAAGTGGGGACTTCAGCTGACACGAGATGATGTTTGAGGAACCGTCCCGATCAAAGCAGATAAACAGAGGCGGCCTCACACACTCACACCTCTCACCTGAGTGAGAGGTCTCCCCTCTCACTCAGCCTGTGGCACAGACCCCCAAGAGCAAGGAGAAGCTGCTCCAACCAGTGTGTGCCAACTCAAGGCAAGAGCAGCATTTGAATTCCTTTCCAAGTTCCATTCTTTTGTCGGAATACTGGTACTATTATACACCTCAGCTTGGACTGCTTAGGCCTTTTAAAACCATGTGGAGAACAGTAGGAAGCAAGAGGAGATAGACCGAAGCACTGGAATAGGGCTGTGAGAAAGCGTGATCACGGATCCTGGAGGGCCTGAATGCTAAATTTTGCTCAAAAAATTTTTTTTTCTTTTTGTTTTCTTTCAGTTCACTGAAGAGTGTCCTAATGTCTCCTAAGTGCCATAAGAAATAGCAATATAACTCAAAGCTGATTTTCCTCTAGAATTGTTATGCTATCCTAGTTTTCATTTTTGCTTCATCTGTTTTATTTTAAACTTCTAAAGTATAAGCTTCCACATGTCTTCTAATGAAATGTGTACTTATGTAACACCATGGTTAGTAGAGCATATTCCTGAAATCATTTTTGTAAATCTTATGTTAAAACAACGTATTGAATTGGGGGTATAAATAAGGAACAAAATTTTTATACTCTTTTTGTTTATTATTATTTTGCCTTCTTTTTCCCATTTCAGACTTTATAGTGAATGAGTTTTACCCTCAAGCTTTTAGCAACTGTTGGTCTTTATGACTTTTATGATCACATTGACTGCACATCCGGACCTGCTGATGGAAGAGGGATTTTGGCATTGACATTTAAGAGTGAACCCCAGTTTTCTCTCTTCTTATGCTTTATTTAGATTTCGACACAGCCCCAACTGCTGGTACCTGAGAGATTGGACTATCCACACCTGGATTAGGCAGTGTCTAAAATATGGTGCACAAGACAAGGCCTTATATACCCTTGTAAATAAGGTGAGTGGTTTCCTGGCATTTGCAGCTTATTCTCCTGAGTTTAGGTGATTTGGTGTTTGTACCATTACAGAACAGCAGAGAATAGTACAAGAAGTAACTTTTAAATTTATTTGCCCTCAGAAAATCTTTTTAGAATGGAGCTGGTATAAATTAACCTGCCCATTAACAATAAACATTCCGGTAGCTGTGGCTGTTCCAAGCACAGTGACTTAAAAATGGAGTGGTAAAAGCAAAAGGTAATCTAATCACAAGAACTTTGTCGGTGGTCATTTCATTCTTGATCCCTAAGTCTTGGATTTTTTGCCTAGTTCCCTTTGGTGAAGTTTAGAGAAAAAGACGTGACCGTTTTGCTGGAGTGTGATCTCCAGAGCATTCAGATCATCTTACACATTTTTAAGAAGACAGACTTCCTAGGTTATTCAAAACATGTCTTCCTAAGTCCCTGACTCCTCCCCTCAAGCCCCAGAGCCCCTATGATTAGGGTCTTTCTGCATGTTATACTCTACCCAAGGGTTGAGTCTTCATTCCCTTCATAGTATGAAATAAGTACAAAATAAGCAAAAGTTTAGAATGTTATTATTGTGAGTCTCAAGCTACAATCCTAGCTTGACCCTTAACAAGACTTTAACAGTATTTCTGTGGAAATGTATTATTTCTGTAGTGTCACTGGACCTTCTATGGCAGACCTCAAAAAGAAATACTAATTTTGGTTTTGGGAGTTCTTGTTCCCATGACTTGGGCCTAATTTAACTTATACATTTCAGATCGTTTGTGTGTGAGATGTTGTATTGGGTATGGCATTGTCCCAAAAAAGGAGCAATGTCCTGTCCTTTCCCTCGGAAAGCTTATAATTTAATAAAGTAGATAAGCAGGTTCACTGATAAATCTAATATTAGGCCCCAGGGGAAGGACTGGATTAAATCTTGCTCTTCACTTCAGACTTTAATGACACAGATCATACTCAAAGAAGAAGATCCCTATGAAAACAAAACAAGAAGTTCTGGAAAGACAAAAAATGTCTATCTCATTTTCTACTCTTACTAGTCTTTTAGTGGAAAGAACACCAGACAAGGAGTCAGAAGACCCAAGCTTAACCTCATAAATTCTACCAATTGCTCATAACTTCAGGCAAATAGTAATTTTATTCTTCTAGGTCTTAGTTTTTTCAACTCTTAAGTCAAGTGAGTTGTACTAAATCAGTGATTTCCAGCCCTGGCTGCCTGTTAGAATCACACAGAAGCTTTTAAAAATTATAGATGCTTTTCTCCATCCCCAAGATTCTAATTTAATTTAATCTTCCTGGAGCCCAGCCATTGGTATTTTTTTTATTGTTTTTTTAAAAAATAGATTTTATTTTTTTGGAGCGGTTTTGGGTTCACAATAAAATTGAGCAGAAGGTACAGAGATTTCCCACATGTTCCCTGTCCCCACACGTGCACAGCCTCCCGAGTGAGCCATTTGTTACAACTGATGAACCTACATTGACATATAATCACCCAAAGTCCATAGTTTACATTAGGGTTCACTCTTGATGTTGTACATTCTATGGGTTTAAACAATGTATAATGACATGTATCTACCATTGTAGTATCATACAGACTAGTTTCACTGCCCTTAAAATCCTCTGTGCTCTGCCTTTTCATACCTCATTGGTGTCTTTTTAAAGCTCCCAAGCTGATTCTCATTTGCAGTCAGTGTTGAGAATCACTGACCAGTTGATTTCTAAGGTTCCTTCTGGCTTTAATGATTTATCATTCTAAGATATTTTGTTTTTACCCTGCCTTAGGGATTAGTGCAGATTTGGTTGACTGCTTTGATGAATTTAAACACTGCTCATGAGCTACAACCTTTAAAGCAATGGATTCTAAACTTTTTTTCCATTTCGGCACATCTGAGGCATTCTGCACAGCGTGCTGGTAATAGTGGCTCAGTTCAGCAGTGATTTGCAACTGGGGTTTAGGGTTATCAGAATTTCTAAGGGGATGGGTATAATTGGAAAAAAAAGAATTCCTCAGGTGTTTCTGGTGGTTGACGGGGGGTGGGGGGGATGAGCCTACTGAATTAAGGATTTAAAACAGACACATGACCACAGCCTAGACCATTAGTAGTCAGACTTGATTGTGCGTGCAAGTCACATGGGAGCCATGGCAACTTCAGGCTTCTTGGGTCTTTAAAAACTAGTCTAATAGACAAGAGATAACAGATGCTGACAAGAATGTGGCATTGTGCATTGTCGACAGGAATGTAAATTGGTACAGCCAGTATGGGAAACAGTATGAAGGTCCCTCAAGAAATTAAAAATAGAACTACAATTTGATCCAGCAATCCCACTTCTGGGTATAAATCCAAAGGAGATGAAATGACTATCTCAAAGAGATACCTGCACCCCCATGTTCATTGCAGCACTATTCACAATAGCCAAGCCGTGGAAACAACCTAAATGTCCATTTACAGATGAATGGATAAAGAAGATGTGGGGTGTGTGTATATGAACATATACATACAATGGAATAGTTAGCCATAAAAAAGAAGATCCTGCCATTTGAGACTACATGGACAAACCTTGAGGGCATTATGCTAAGTAAAATAAGTCACTCAAAGAAAGACAAATACGTCATGATCTCACTTATATGTGAAATCTAAAAAAGCGGAACTCATAGAAACAGTGTAGAATAATGGATGCCAGGGACTGAGAGGACAGGAGAAATGGGGAGAGGTTGGTCAAAGGATACAAACTTCCAGTTGTAAGATGAGTAAGTTCTGAGGATCTAATGTACAACGCGGTGACTGTAGTTAACAGTACTGTATTGTATACTTGAAAGTTGCCAAGAAAATAGATCTTAAATGTTCTCACCACTGCCACCACCAAAAAAATGGTAATTATGTGAGGCAATGAATTTGTTAACTAGCCTTATAGTAATAATCATTTTGCAATATATATGTGTGTTAAATTATCATGTTGTACACCTTAAAGTTACACAATGTTATATGACAATTATATCTTAATAAAGTTGGAGAAAAAGCGCTCTAAGGACCAGAAAATGCTGCATAATGTGTTAATGTGTGCTTTCTCATGGGAGTCCATTTTTGCATTGATATTCATACCTTCTGAAAAGAATCACTGAACGAGTGCAGTATGGTGGTTTTTTATTGTCTTGGTTTGGTTTGGGGTTTTTTTAAGTTATGATGAAGTGTTAGAATTGAGCTTTATTTTTCAGACGTCAGTTGTCTTATATCAGACACCCACTCACAACTTTCTCACCCTGACCAACAGTTCCAGTTACCAAACGGCATGAGTCACAGCTTCTGTTTCACCATCCCAGATGCTGTGAAATGATAGTCAGATATTTTACAGCTAACGGTGCCAAGGTTTTTCCTGAATAATACATAGGCATAAATTATAAACTGAATTCAATGAATATTTTTTCCCTTATCTCACTTTTATTTTCATTACAGGTCCAATATGGTATTTTTCCAGATAACTATACATTTAATTTACTGATGGATCATTTCATAAAGGAAGAAAATTACAAAGGTAAGAAACCAAACCCAGTTCCATGTATAATGGATCTTCAGTTCCCAAAGGGAAGTAAATGTAGGCACTTTCACTTTTTTTATTTCTTAATGACTCTCTACATCACTCTTTCAGTCAGAAATAGGTGCGTAGTTGATTTACCACACCAGTTGGCCAGATAGGAGAACCATATTCAGGTCTTTTTTCCTCTGAGTTTCTGAAGTTTATTTGTTCATGTCTCTTTGGGCAAAGGACAATGAATTTAGTGAAGCAATAAACCTTGCCTGAGCTTCCATGGCTAGTTAAGATTATATTAATTCAGCTATTAGCTTGACTTTTTTAAGCACCATTTGCTAACTTCCTTTATTTAAATCACAGTTGTTACAGCATGTGAAGTGTGTAAGTATAAAATCTTATATACTGGAGAGAGTAGTACCCTCTCTATGAAGGAAAGTCATTTCACCTCCCTAGGCTTTTGTTCCCCCTTCTCTAAAGTAAGTGCATTGGTGAACTCTGAGATCTCTTTACCCCCAAAATCCTCTGACCCCATGGAATTAATTTAAAGTGGCTCTTACCTTCAGCTACAGTAAGGGAGGCCAAGGAAAGGTGCGGATGTGGCAGACCCCACAGAGCAGTCAGGTGGAGCCCTGCCAGTCTCCAGTGGACAGGGAAGGGTAGTACAGCACGCTCGTGCTTGCAGCTACGCAGACAGTGAAGAAGGAAAGAGGAGGCCATGCCGTTGTGTAAAGACACACACTGGCTTCCCCTTCCACCATTTCATCCTCAGGCTTGGTTCTGAGGAGTCATGCCTGTGTTAGGGTAGTCACTACCTCAGGAATGTGGATGTGGACTGGTGGTCACTTATGCTTTTATGACACCTGTGATTCCTGTCATTGGGTTACATCCTCTTGTTCCTGCACACCAGCACCCTCAGCCTTTTCCATTGCGTCACTGCCTGGACTCAGTGATGAGGCTGGGGACCTGGGGACCGGGGACCTCTCTCCTTTCTCTTCTCCGGGCCTCTGCTTTATCTTCTCTCTCATAAGGCTTGCAGTTGTTGACTGCCTAAAAATATTTGCTGTGCATTATTATTATTATTATTATTTTTTTTTTGCGGTATGCGGGCCTCTCACTGTTGTGGCCTCTCCCGTTGCGGAGCACAGACTCCGGACGCGCAGGCTCAGCGGCCATGGCTCACGGGCCCAGCCACTCCGTGGCACGCGGGATCCTCCCGGACCGGGGCACGAACCCGTGTCCCCTGTATCAGCAGGCGGACTCTCAACCACTGCGTCACCAGGGAAGCCCTGTGCATTATTTTTTGAAATGCTCATTATCCCTTATCCATTTTAAACATGGACTTCCTGAATTCAACTAAAAGATAATTAGCTTTTGCATGTTTCATCGTCTGTTCTCTGTGAACATCAGATTTAAGAATCCTTATTACTCTATCATTGGAAAATTATGTAGTAGCAGTTTTCTCCCCTCTCTCTTTAAAGGTAATGTTGGAAGGGTAAAAGGAGTTTTGGGTTTGGTTTTTTTCTTTTTTTTCCTTCTAAATTCAGAGTAAATAATATTGAGGATTTTTTAAAATAAAGTTTTGATGCAGATTATTATTATTTATGGCAAAAATTTAGAAAATGTTATACTTTTTATTGCTAAAATAGGAAATACCCAAGTATATAAATAATTACGGAGGAAAAGGAAATTACTTATACAGATCAACCTAATTTCACTTCCCAAGCCGACTGAAATGAATATAAATTAGAGATAAAATAAATTTGATTTATTTTTCATGTGTAATTTTGGATTCAGTATTGAACAGTTGGCAAAACAGATTTTTTTTAAACTGATTTGTAACTTTGTGTTCTTTTAAAATGTCGGTTTGTTGGTGAGATGGGAGTGTTGTTTGTTTAATCTCTTCCAGGTTCTTATTTTGCTACTGACTGACTGGGTGACTCCTCCCTGGTCTGCCTGTCTATCTCAGTTTCCCTGTTTGCAAAAAATATATAGAAATTCTTGGCTGTGGCCTCATGTAGAACCATGACAACACACACAAAACCAGCTGGCTAGCAACAGCTGCAAATCAGTGCTAACTCTTATGCAGCCCTATATGCAAAAATCGGTTAACAGAACAGCTCAGTCAGTTATTCAAAAACATTTGTTGTGCCTGTGTTATGTGCAGGCACCATATTTTAAACCAATATTAACATTCTCTGATTTAACAACAAATACTAAGGGAAAGAAATTGTTTGAATTTGATTTTCTTGCCTTCTGCCTATGTTGTGAAATATTGAGGGACAATAAATCAGACCTTGCTTACGGTCTGGTCTCCTATGATCAGCATTCATATGAAAACAGATATCTTCTATGTTACACTCACGGAATTATAACTTATGAATAAGCATTTCCTTTCCATTCTTTCAATTCTTTTAAATTGAGCCTGATTGTCCTTTTTGTAGTCATCAGTTTTCTGTCTTTGAAATAATACCTGAGATTTAGAATTGTCTCTAGCATTTGTTCTCTTTTGCCCAAACAGGGAGAAAATTCCAGAACATACAGTGGGGCAGTCAGCCAAGCCCCCTCTCTACTTGTCAGGGTGACCTGGAAAATATATTTGCCTCCTTTCTGTATGCCTTAGCTCTTCCAGCTGATGGACATGATGCCTTAAATTTGCTTCACAGTTTATGAGGCATTTTCACATGTATTATTTTGTTGGACTGTCAACAGTCTTGTGATGTATGTGGGACAAATGGTATTTTAACATCATGAAGATGATATTGAGAAATTGAGTGGTTTATTTGACATCCTTGAGGACAGTGATACAATAGCACCTGATTCAGTACACAGTAGTGTGTACAATAGAAGCTGAAGACTTGGGAAAGACCTAGTTTATGGAAGAACTAGGACCAGAGCCCACATTTCTTAACTTCTTAATTCTGTTTATTTTTCTGTCATGCCCCACTTTTTAAGAGTGTTTATAGTTAAATACAGGTTTGATGATGTTACCTAAAACTAATTACCTCTCATTTTTACTTTGATCTTCTTTCCAGATGCTCTGTCTGTGGTTTTTGAGATCATGATGCAAGAAGCTTTTGAGGTTCCCTCCACCCAACTCCTCTCCCTCTACGTTTTATACTACTGCCTGGCAAAGAAGACAGACTTCAGTGTAAGTGCTCTACCTTAAAGCAGCAGTGAGAGCCTTAGAAGAAGCAAGCAGTGGCTGCTCAGTAGTGATGTGGGCACCAGAGGAAACCTCTGCCCTCAGCATCTGGAAAAAGATGCCTGATGTATAGCGCTGTGGCCCCGTACAACCAGGAATGAGTATTCATCCTGTACATTTTAGGTACTGGGCTCTAACAAAGTGGAATTGGACATTCTTCCACTCGGAAGAATCTCAAGGGAAAGTCCTTATGTGCATTCTGAGTCTTGAGCTAGGCTAAGTGCACCTCACACGTGCAGAAGTAGGTAATCGATGATCAGTGAGAGCTGGACATGGCATACCAACGAAGCAGTGAGGCAGCCAGCTTCGACCACGACCTCAGGTATTAAATACTCATTGTTTAATTTATGTCAGTATTTTCCTAAGGTTGCTCTGGGTCAGTCCAGAAGACTAGGTTTGGTTTCATCTCTTAGGTTAGGATATTTAGTCATTGTTTATTGCTATCCTAAGAATAACAACGGTAACAACAACAATAGCTAATACTTAAATGGCACTTACTTTACACCAGGCTGTGTTCTTGGTGTTTTAGATTTATTAATTCATTTAATCCTCACAACTCCATGCAGATGAGAAGACTGGGGCACAGAGATGTTACATAATAGCCACCCAGCTAGTAGGTGATGAAGCCACCTGGTGAAGCCAAGCAGCCTGGCCCTACAGTCTGCCCTTAACCTCAGATGTAACACCAAAAACTACTACTTTGGGTAGGAACTGAAAAGCTCATTTAGTCTAGCCCCCATTCTAAAAAAATTTATTGTGTGTTTTGTTTTTGTAAGATGAATGTCATAGCCTATGGCACACCTCACATTCATTAGTTCATTAAATATATATTGAGCAACTACTACATTCCATACATTTCAAGTGCTCCTTATACAGTGGTGAGCAAAAGTTTCCTTCTTACAATCTAAGATGAATATAGGCATTTAAAACAAACACACGAATATAAAATGATGACTATAATGATCACTACAAAGACGTCTTCTATGAAAAGCCTGTATGGTAGTGAGTTTTTGTTTGTATTTTAAACTTGTTAGGAAAGCCTTCTTCCTTAAGGAAATATTTCCTGAGTTAATATTTGAAGAATGAATAGGAATTAACAGACTGAAGAGAGGGAGAACAATCCAAAAAGAGAAAATGACATGTGCAAAAGTCCTGTGGCAGAAAGAACATGCTGAGCAGAAAGGGGCTGGCAGAAGCTAGGAAGATAGTGTAGCTGCCACAGAGAGAATTGTAGGGTGAGATGAGATTGCAGAAGGTAGGTCATGCTAAGCTGTTTCATCTACATTCTAAAAATAGTGAGAAGCCACTGAGAAGTTTTAAGCAGAAGGGGTGGCATGATCAGATTTGTGTATCTGGGCTGTAACATGGGTAGGAGGTTAGATCAGGGCCAGGGTGGTTATGGTCAGAGCACGTAGGAGACTATCATGGTCGTCTGAGTAAGAGTAATGGTAGTGTGGGGACCAGAATGTGGTGGAGTTACAAAGTAGCCGATGACCGTATCTAGGAGGCAAAGAGCATGATGAGGAAGGAAGTAGATGTGGAGGCAGGGAGGTGGGGGTGAAGTCTGACCTCCTCAGTTTCTGCCTGGTGTATCTGGACAAAAGGGTCACCATGTGTTTGCAAAGACTTCTTTTGATGAGGAAGATCATTAATTTGGCTCTGAATATGTTGCATTTTGAGATACCTTTGAGACAGTCAAGAGATTTCACAAGGGAAATTGGCATCTTAATGGAAAAATCTGGACTGGAGATGTAATTTACAAATCCATGTGTAAGTGTCTGCAGACGAGCCACAGGCCAAAAGGAGAGTCAGGAATGTGTTGGAACAAACACCGTGGGAGGAGGTGGTCTGCATGTAGAATGCTCCTCAGAGGGTAGGTGAGACGAGGACTTTTATGAAATGCGTTGAACTTAGTGGTGTGAGGGCCATAGAGTAATGGAGCAGGAAACCAAATTGGAGTGGATTGTGGAGTGAGTCCGAGGTGCAGAAAGGAGACAGTGAGCATCAGCGGTGTTTTGAGATGTCTGGCTGTGAAGGGGAGTGGAGGGAGGAAGGAGAGAAGGAGGGTTTGCTTTGTATTAATGGGAGAAGCTGAAGCATGAAATGAGAAAACCTTGAGGACGTTGGTAAAATAGCTCCTGATTTAGTCCATAATAGTACATAGAGTAGAAGGTAAAGGCTTGGAAGAGACCTGATATTTTACGTTAACACATAACTAGCCTTTCATCTAAGCAGCAGTGGTTGTATTTTTCCCAATCAACCAAAAAATCTCTAACACATCCATTTGCTTTCATTCATCTTTGTAAAAGTGCTTTTGGAAGAATCACCATTGCAGCACCATCACCATCCCTGCTCAGTTCTTGCACAGCAAGGACGCTGCTCATTTGGCTTTTAGCCCCTGTTGCACCCTGATACTATAGGTCATGTTTTTCCCTAAAGAAAAGAAAAAATGCTTCTAAGCCTCCTTCTTAACTTTTCCCTGGGCCCCTTTTCATGCAGTTTTTGTGGGGGAAAATCAAACCTCCAAGGGATTTGCTTTCGCAAGTGAAATGACCTGGTCCTTCATTGCCAACTCTCTTGCTTATGTGTACTGCAGAAGCCCCTGAGGAGGCTTTGCTTTTCTCCCAAGGTCTTTGCTTGTTTCAAAGGTTTAGAAAAACCTTAAGAAATTGCACTTGCATTGCACGAAGGTCATTCCCAATAAAGAGGTTTGGGTGCCCCTTAACACCTTGGGTACCCCACTTATATACCTGGTTGCAGTTGTAGCTTGCACACTTTGTTCATTCTCTGACCAGCGCAGGGCCACCTGAGCTTTGCGTTCTGTATTTCCAAGCTGGAACAAAGGCTTAGGCCGCTGTGTGCTCCTACTGCACCAGCACCGAGAAGATCACAGCCCTCGTCTGGGGAGTTGCCAAGGCTCTCCTCAGGCCTACCTTTACAGTAAGTCCCCCGTCCCTGCTGTTGCTAGTCTGCAGCAGCCTTAGCAATGCTTGTACTTTGCCCCTTCTTTTCCCGTGTCTCATAAGGCTTCAATTTTATTGAAGTGTAATTTTGCACCCTGGATTGAAAGAAATGATTGCCAAGTGTTTCTGATTGCCTAATTGATTTTTGAGAGGCGTAAATCTATCTAAAGGCAGCCTAATAGTTATATTTATTTGAACACTGTGAAGTAGAAGGAGTCTTATTGCTGAATTGTTTAAAATTCAAAAAGCTTGCTCTGTCATTTCATAGCAGTGTGAGTACAGGGCTAACAGCATGGGTAATCTTTGTTGATTGTCTCGAGGCAATGCTGGTCCAGAGTGTACGCTTTATTTTTATTTTGTTTTGCTTTTCTGATAGTAAAAGGAACTCTTACTCACTGCCCCAAATTTGGAAAGTAATGAAAAGTACAAAGAAGAAAACCAAAATTGCTTGTAATTTCACTGCCCAGAAATCTGTTAACATATTGGGCATTTCTGTTCTGTATTTTTCATTAAACATAAATATCTTTTCTTTCCAAAATTAGAATTATAATGTACCTTTAGTTTTGTTATTTTGCTTCTTTTACTTAATGTTATAACATGTTCTTTTTTCCTCTGTGTCATTAAAAATCACATTTTTGCGTACAAAATGCATTTATGCATTGCTTGGCTGCACCGTGATCTGGTATATTCTGTTGCAGTGGGAAGAGGAGAGGAACTTCGGTGCATCCCTGTTACTCCCAGGCCTAAAGCAGAAGAATTCGGTGGGGTTGAGTTCCCAGTTGTACGGCTATGCGCTTCTTGGTAAGCTGGAGGTCCTTACAAACATTGTTCTTCATGGATAGAACTGATGCATTCTTTTACTTCATAATAAAATTATAATTTGATTTAAATTTGCGAGTGAAATTCCAATACAGCTTTCATTTTTAGACATAAAACTAGACTTTGATGGCCTTACAGTTATGACCTAAGACAATAAAGTGGGTTCTAAAACCTCCCACCACTGGCAAGGTGAGAATTAGTTCTGATGGCTCTCGATTATATTTAGTGGTGATCAGTGTGAGGAAGGGATAAAGAAAGGAAAGTTCTGACCCTCTTTTGGGAGAACTGGCCAGTAGGATCTTTCCCATTATTAACAAAGATCTTTCTGTCTCTTAAATCTAAAGTCCAGGAGGAAAGAAATTAAGAGTTGGAGTTGAACCCATATCCTTGGTATTGTTTTCAGGTGTGAGGGAAGAGAAACTCAGAGAGCACATCCAGCAGCACTTGGGAAAGCAGAGAGGGGCTCACTGGTGCAATGTGGCTGTGCCACACACAGGACAGCTAGCTCTGCTTTAGACCCCGGATTGCATGAGAATCAGACAGTCAGGAGGGCAAAGCCTTCTGAGGAGCAGCCTCGGCACTTGGGTTGTGTGGAATCTGGGCAAATAACATTCACCCTAAATGTGCATAAAATGTGTCCCGATTTACACAGGTTTATTAAATGCATGTTATTTCATTATCCTTGCAGTCTCTCTCCTAAGTAGGTAGGCATTTGAGAAAGTCCCTTCTGATCATACATTGTGTCTGCTTACCTTTGTTTTCTGAAAATCATCTAAGTTATAGCAGTTTGACTGCTTTTGGAGTTGATCTTCACCAATAAAATGTAGTGTGGCATTCTCAGATGCTGATTCTGATAGAAACTGACTCAGAGAGAGGACTTCATCAGGCTGGTGATCAGACTAACAAAAGAGTTGACCACTCTTTTTAAAAATCATTTTCTCTTTACTTACCATCTACTTTTGATATTGATTTACACGTTTTTGGCCTTTGCCTTCAGATGAGCACTCAGGATTGTTACACTGCATGAATTGGCCGGGAAGTTGTCAAGGCTAAGAAAATGTACTTTGTTGTTCCTGTTGCTAAGCAGAGGCCCGGGTGTTTTGGGTCTGGGAGCATCAGATCCAAAGCCCTTTGCTCTCACTGTGTCCTGTGCTGCGCAGCCTCATTCACCTCTGACAGAAGCAGCTTCCCAGAACGTGACTGCAGCCAACCCCAAGCATCTTACAGATCTAAAATTAGCTGTCACCTGATGAGCTTTGTCTATTTATGTTCCACTACAGCTTTCCCAAATCCTCCTTCCCGGGAAAGATAAGTGAAGGTAGATTTAAGACCTGGCAGCTCAAGGTGACTTTGGTCATTAGTGCAGAAGTTTCTGTTCCCCAGGAGTCCAGAGACAGCCCCTGTCCTCACTCGGGGACCTTGCTGCCAGCCATGTTTTAAGCTCCAGTTGTGATTGTTTGAGGTACCAAGAGAAACATTCATGTCCTGAGACCCAAAAGGATGAATGAGGACTATACGATTTAAGTACTGATGAACCTCAAATAAAGGAAAGGAGAGCAAAGTGAGATTTTTTTTTTTCATAAAGAGTATTTCATGGGGTGTTTTGGAGCATTTTGAAAAATGTCAAACATTTCCTGGCAGGGGACGTTGTCAGACGTTGACAAGATTTCCACTGTAAAAAAGTTGTGGAATTTCTTTTTCAGAGGAAGATTTTGTTCTTGAAACAAAACTAGTATTTCAGTTGTTTGACTTGTTTTGTCAGGGTAGTTTCACTTAGAGGCAGATATAACAACCTCTGTAGGGACTTCCCTGGTGGTCCAGTGGGTAAGACTCCACACTCCCAATGCAAGGGGCCTGGGTTCAATCCCTGGTCAGGGAACTAGATCCCACATGCATGCCGCAACTAAGAAGTCCGCATGCCGCAACTAAAGATCCCACGTGCCGCAACTAAGACCTGGCATAGCCAAATTTAAATAAATAAATAAAAAATAAATAGCAACGTTTGTAAATTTCCCTCAACCCTTTGATTCATATATCCTCATGATGATCTCCAGTAGTCCAAATGAAAAAGAGGAAAAATAAGTTCACATGACTTTATACTGAAAGGTGTATACATAGAATTTTACATTTTTCATCATACATCCAAAGTGTCCCCATTCACTGGGTGGGATGAGGCTCTTGGTATAGGTTTGAAACGATCCTTCTCTATTTCTAGAGCTGCCAGTTAAGTATTCGCTTGTGCCTTCAAGTCCTCCGTCTCAGACATAGTGGGAAGCCACAGCTGAGCCTTCTTTTTTGTTCTTTTTGGCCACAGGGAAGGTGGAATTGCAGCAAGGGCTGCGGGCTGTGTACCATAACATGCCCCTGCTGTGGCAGCCAGGGTACCTCAACAGAGCCCTTCAAGTAATGGAGAAGGTGGCCTCCTCCCCAGAAGACGGAAAACTGTGTAGAGAAGCGGTAAGTTCCCTGTCTCTAATTCAGTGGGATTTATCATCTCCTGTTACTCATAAGTCAAGCTTTGGATTTGTTTTCCTTGTCTCCCCCATGCCCCACTTTCTTTATCTCTATAGAATCATGTACTTATTCAGGTGAAAAGGAGTGAAAAACCACAAACATTCTCAATGTTACTGACAAAAAGCACTAGACAATAAGATTGATGTTGATTTTATAGTTCACTATCTGGGAGGAAGACCATTCCCCTTCCCTAAAATTCAAACTGAATTCTGTAAAATACTGTTTAATTCCGCCCGACCCCTAAAGTAAAACCTCAGTAGGAGCTTGAGAGGTTAAGATTTCATTTTTAATTTTTGGCATTTCTGTCTCCTCATTTAGTCCCCGGAGCCTAACTACCTGTCAGTTTTTTCCATCATACAAGGTCTCAAGAAATGAGTCTAGGGACTAGAGACGGCACTGTCTTTCTTTCCTTCCATTAAACTATTCTGTGGTGAATGCATGATGCTGAGGAGATCTGGACCAAATGTTCCTTTCATAGTTCTAAGGCGTTCACTTTGCCTGGACTAGGACACTGTCCTCCCACCAGCCTCAAAGCTCATCCCTCTTGGTCACCTTGGGCTCTTGACACTACGAAGTTACTAGAGTGAGCTCAGGCTACAGGAAAGCACGCGACGAGCTTACACCCGATAGGGAGCCAACAGTGTTCGCTCCTGCCCAAGCAGCTGTTGTAGCCAGAGTGAGGCATAGAAGGACATCAGTTGTTTCATTACCAGGGTGTAAAAGTTAACTTTGAGCAGCTGCTTATTTGTTTTGCCTTGATGCTGATCACTAGGACTCACCTCATGGCTTCCGCGCAGTCACAGGATGCACAAGTCTGGTCCCTATACTGGCTCCTTATACTGGTGTCTAGTGAGGCCTTATGTTCTCTGCCAGACATTTACCAAGTATACACATTTCTAAATATATTTTCATGTTTTAACCCTGCTGTAGTCAGTGCTGGTGATTGAAAACACAAAATTATACATAAATGCTTTGCCAGGGAAATACTCCTTCCAGTTGGAGACAGATTTGCGTTGTTTGTGTTCTGACTTCATAGGAATGTGATTCAGATGTCAGCAAGAGTGGGATATGTGTCACATATATGTATGTGTATATGTATATATATGTATATCCTACATACACATTTGGGTATAAGGTATTAGTGGCATTCAAAAGCCTTGGAGTATTTTCTGGATTTTTGTTCTGAAGTGACATGGACAGAATTAATCGTTATCCATGCAGGTGCTAATGCTGGCCTTGAGGTTGTTTCTATCCCATCTCTGATGATTAGGCCCTTTGAGGGTCGAGGGAGGTTGCCCCAAAATGAAAGTGGTAGGGGAGAGGGGTCAAAACAAAAAGAAACCTTCCGTTTTATAGTTTATTTACTTTCTAAGCCATAGAAATCACCTGTTACAATAAATTTCATGTATGCCTAGCTGGTCTTTGTCAGCAGCTTATATAGATTGACTGATCCCTAATCTCTGGATACCCTATGAGCTAAAATTTTTCTCTGAAGAAGGTCCCTGCCTAGATTCAGAGGTTTTACCGTGCATTCAAAGTGGCCCATTTTGGTTCTGGTCTGTAGTGGTTTTTCTTTCCCTTTCTCCCAATTCCAAAGCAATTGAGGAAGAAAAACATGGAAGGGGTGGTACTTCAGTACCCATCAAGCATAATTCTTGGATTCTTACCTGGGTGATTAAAAGTGAAATCAAAAGCTGCTGTGTTGATTCACTTATACAGATAATTCTGAGCTTGCTTATTGTTCCATTTGTTTTGTACTAAGTGTTCATGCCATGGGACAGGGTGTTTCTAGTGTAAAATTATATAACCATTTCTGTTCCCTATAATTTGATAAGAGAACTCTTCTCGCAATATTTTAGATCCCAGGTTTCCCTTCCTTTCCCTTCTCCAGCCTCCCTTCCCAGTGCTTTCAGGGCCACAGGATGTTTAATCTCTGCCCCCCTTTCTGCTCTGCAGCTCGATGTGCTGGACAGAGCGCTGAAGGTGGCTCTGACCGCTCCGGCCCAGGGGTCTTCAGAGGACCAGCCCCAAGAAGGTGAGAAGACCCAGAGGTCAGAAGAACTGGTGGAGCAGCTGGATGTGGAGGAAACTGAACAGTCCAAGCTTCCCCGTTACCTGGAACGATTTGAGGTGAGTTGTAGCAGAATTGAGTCCCTCTCAGCTGTGCATTAAGCATGCTTCTCTGCCATGGTGGTAGACCAGCAGTCCTTTCATGCATCAATGTCACACACAAGGGCATTAAAAACTGATATCAAAAATCACATTGTTGGGCTTCCCTGGTGGCGCAGTGGTTGAGAGTCCGCCTGCCGATGCAGGGGACACGGGCTCGTGCCCCGGTCCGGGAAGATCCCACATGCCGCGGAGCAGCTGGGCCCGTGAACCATGGCCGCTGAGCCTGCGCATCCGAAGCCTGTGCTCCGCAACGGGAGAGGCCACAACAATGAGAGGCCCGAGTACCGCAAAAAAAAAAAAAAAAAAACACATTGTTATTGCTTCACACAGGAAGTGGTCTTAAAAGAAACAAATGGAATTCTTATGCTCCTTTTCATACTTGAGCGAATCGGTCACAGTTTTCCTAAGGCAGCATGTCATTATCCGCTACTCATCCCTGACGTCTGCCTGATGGGTGGGTAACAGTTTGCCTTCTCATAGCAAGCACCTGACTTCAGCCCTGGGTGAAGAGGATCTGGTCATTTCTCCATATTACATTGAACCTTCCTGATCACCAGAAACCCAGGTAGAAATCACAAAGCCTCATCTGAATATGATGAAGATGAAATGCAGACATCTTCTCTTGCTCGGCTTTGTGGTGTGCACTAGGGCCATTGGAAATGCTCTGGACTACATGGATGGTGTAAACAGGTTTCTACAGGTTTCAGGACAGCCCTGAGCACTCAAACTGCCTTTGGTAGCTTTCAACTCTAGGTCCCAAAATGCTCTGTGATCAGAGTCAGGGAGGAAGAGCCATGTTCAGATTTTAAGCCCTTGGCCTCTACCTTGCTGTGTTTCTCATCTATTTAGCAAAAAGCGGGGGAGGGGGGGGGAATTGCTGCCTGAAGGAGAATTCATTGTGTGAAGCAGAAAACGTTCCCATCCCTCCCAGCTGACCCATTGTGTCCTTTTGGTGCAGAGGGATGTATACTTTGCCAGAGTATTACATTGAAATCTTTGCAGTAATTATATTGAACCAGCTGTGGGAAATCTATTTCCCCTTGTTCTAAGGAGGATCCTAATACCTTTAGTAGCTGTTTTTCCCGGTACTTCTATAAGGTAATTGCTCAACTTCCCTTTTTTATAATTTAGAAACTGAAAAAGGAAGGTTAATCGATGTTTTCAGGGTACACAGAGAATTAGCAGCTAGGTTAAGAATGTACATACCTGTTCTTTCCTCTTAACTTTGCAGATTTAGAAAAGCTAAAAAGCAAAAAATCTGCTTAGCCCCATAGATTATCATTTACCATGTTCTTATTGACCAAGGCTGCCCCACAACTCTTAAAAGTTACCACCTTTTTCTTATTGCTTATATATTTAATCTTGGAGAATAGAAATCTGTGCCAGCATTAAATTCTCAGCCCTCACTCTTCCACAATGCATTTTTTTTTTTTAATTCACACAAAAAAAGACCAATATTTCTTGACTGCTAGTTGTGTGTTAGGCACTACTGCATTTCCTTTATCCTTACCTGGGTGGTAGATACTGCTCTTCCTGTGTTACATGACACTAAGGTTGAGGGAACCTAGTCCATAAGTGACTGACTTTGGATTTGAACACAAATTTGAACACTTTGGATTTGCTGACTCAGAGTTGAGTCCTTATTCTGGTGTCCCAAGCTGTCTCCTTGGCCTCAAACCAGGTGGGAAGTGATATCAGAAAGAAAGAATTCTCATTTTACGCTTCCTTTTCTTCCTGGTGCCTGATTTTTATTAGTCCCAGGTAATCTTTTTGGGGCTCATTTTTGTGGCTGACCTGTCACACCAGACGTGTGGCCACTCCTTGAAGCCCGTGGATCCTTCCCACCTTCCAGCCCCTGCTGTTAGAGCAGGCCGCATCACCTATGCCAGTAAATCGCATTTGTTTTGTGGAACATGGGGTGTGTCATATATGCTAAGTCTGGGGCCATAAGTGGGTCTCTGATGATCTACATCTTGAAGCACTTAAGTAGATTAGTGTTTTTAGTACTTTACTTCTCCAGAAATACAATACTGACCAAATCGAGCTGCCGTTTCAGATGGAGTCATAAGTAGTCAGGATGTCAAGGCTGACCTGCAGGGAAGCACAGCACGTGCAGGCTTATAATAGCGCAGGCACTCATGGGAGCTGTTTAGCATGCCGTTAGTAAGAAAGCGTTGACATGAATTCCATCTGTTGAAAGGAATACTGGTTAGGCAAACATTTATCCCAGTAATTCTAAAGGAAAAGCTATGGATGAACTTGCTCCATTTTATCAGCTGCTTCTGCCATTTTGTTTCCATCTTAGGGTTCTTTGTTCTTGGAGTTTGCTGCTTGGTTTGGTGCAGGTCAGAATGGAAATGCAGGTTTCTTGTCTTGTGCAGTGTTTGTGGTCTAAAACAAGAAATTACACAGGGAGTCACAGCATATGGAGTTCCATTTACCGTTTGTGAGTGAAGGGGAAGAAATGACATGTGGTGCATCTTAGCAGAATTGCTGGGCTGAAATTAAAAAAAAAAGAGCAAAAGCTAACAGTGCCTGGATGAAAGGCAGCATGACAGGCTCCCAATAAAGTACCTTCTCCTGTGAGCAGAATGTGTGGAGATTTTGTAAGTGACTTAACCTCTTCTCTTTTCCTCTTTGTATTCTTTACCTACCTGCCCCTCCCACATCTTCTTTTTTTTTTTTCTTTTTTTTTTTTCCTTTGTTTCCAATAGGCCTTACATTCTAAGCTACACGCTCTGGGCAAAGTTGAGTCAGAAAGCCTTCTGACCCTGACCACCCAGCTTGTCAAGGAACAGCTCCCTACCTGTGAAGCAGAAGACATCGCTGCCTACGAGCAGAAGCTGCAGCAGTGGCATCTGGATTGGGTACATTTGATTCAGAGGGAAAAGGAGCAGAGGGAGAGGGCCAAGCAGGCGCAGGAGGCTCGAAGAGCAGCAGAGGCATCTGCCTAATTAGGCCCCTCAGGGGCCACAGGAACTTCACGAGAGCCCATCTCAGGATCCACAGTGACCATGAGGGCAGCCTCAGTGTCCTGCATCCACCTTCTCCTGTTCTTAAAGCAGACCCCCTAAGGTACAGAAGCCACGCTGTTCACATGTCAAGCCATGTGACCACCCACCCGGATGCCAAGAAGACTGGAACCATGAAAGTGGCAAATGGTCAGACTGAAGCCACTAGCTAAATACCTTAAATAAGGGCTCTCGACGCTTATAGTGGAGTTCTTGGGGGACAGGGATCAATTTTGAAGACTGAAAATCCCTGATACCTAGCGATGGTGGTGGGAGAAGCCGTGACTGAAGAATCTGGTCTCAAGCACAAGCTTTTGAATGGTCTCTGTGTCCCCAGCCGAGGCCACCTGCAGGTCCTGAGACCTTGTCCCCTAGTCTCCTCTCGCGTGCAAGCTCTCAGCCTGAGCTGGGTATGGGATGCCCGCACATCCCCACTTTCCCCTCCCAGACCTGAACTGGGAGAAGTTCAGTACAGGAGCAAACACAAGACCTACTGGCTCTCAAATTTCAGGGACCCCCGGTGGCATTTTTAGCATGTCAGGGCTTTTGAGGAGAGAGCTAGCCCTAGCTCTGAAGCTTCCGTGGCTTGACTCCCCATCATGTTGCGGTAACTTTCTTACAAAGCATTGTCTCAGCCCCTCATCAAGTAGGTAAAGTGAGCCTTCTGTGTACACACATGAACACACATACAATTTGTGAACACAAGTTTCAGTTAGAAATTGGAGAAAATGAGAGATGGGATGGGGCTTGCAGTGCGTAGAAGACATGACTGATTGTAAAACTGTCAGGAGGTGGAAATTTTCTCTCTGGGGTTTCTCTGTGGAAGGGGTCAGTGGCCGCTCTTGCTTGCTGTGTAATTTTGCCCTTTTGTGTAGTGGTGTACTTTTATGCAGGATTGTGCTTTTGTATCAAGAACCTGTGGAAATAAATGTTCTAGGATCGTTTTGGTGTATTCTTCATCTTTGGGGGAAGGGAGGGAGGAGTAGGGAGTTTCATCGTCATTATAGTCACTATGATTTTGAGCAACATATTTTCAACCCTCCTTCTCCAGTAGACTGTGGCATGTGTAATAATAATAATAATCACCACAACCACTAACTTGTGTTCAGGACTGGCTGAGCTCCAGCAACCCTATGAGTGAGCTGCTATTACCCTATTTTTGAATAAGGAAACTGAAACTAAGTAACTTATGTGGGGTCAGGCTCCCACTGCTTCTCACCCTGCATGTTCCCTCCGTACATACCTGCAGTCCATATCCAACACAGGGCCTGAGTCTTACTTAGGAAGAGGGTTATGACCAAAAGTTGGTTCTGACATTTTGGTTTATCAAGGGCAGGACTTTTTCAGCCCTTATTATATCAAGAGGCAGGTTCAAGATACATCAAAAGACGCCTTTTGCTCAGTAAATTAACAACCATCACACATGAAGCATCTGGTTGATATTTCAGCTCATAGTTTTGCCTGCATTTTCCTCCTTGTCTGTGCCTGTGGCACTTTACTTCCAGGCTTCAAGAGACCACTTCACTGTGCTGCTGCCCAGCAGGAGTTTCCAAGCTCTCCACTCCCGGACTTCTTCCACACATGTGCCCGCATCTCTCTCAGGAACTCTCGAGAGTCTTTCCCCACCATCTACTCCCCTTTCCCCAGGCTCTCCTCCCCTGAGCTATAGGATACCCTACCACCCTCCTAGATGGTGAGAGCTGACCACAGTTGTCCTTGGTCTTTTCACCAATATCACCGTCTGTATTTCTTCCACATGGATGGAGAAACTGCTGTCAGTACCCTGGCCTCTGGGGATGACCTGAACTGTAACAGATGACCTTCCCTCTAGCTGACCTGCCATAGTCACAGCCAAACCTCCAGTCTCATATCACTAATCCAAGATCTTACAGCCTGAAGTCGCATTCTCCCAGTCTTCCCTTTCTCTCATCATGTGACTCCCGCTGA